GGATTCTGCGGCCACGTGACATTTGGCTCATCGTCCCCAAACAGCCTTCAGCCAGAGTGAGCCTCACATAATACCTCTGACATCTGGGGTCAGATGTCCAGAAATCTCAACTCCCCTCACTTGTCCTCGAAGACAGGGACACTGCTTTTCCTGGGGCACCCCCACCCCCAGCATCCTCTGTGCAGGCAGCAGGGTGGGGTGGGCAGGTCTGTGCTCAGCTTACTTGGAGCCTGGGTCTGGCTGTCTGACCTGCAGCCCAGGGCAAGGCCTGGCGGGGGGGTGGGGGGTGGGGGCATTGCAGGAAGGCCCCACACTGTGTCCCCAAAGTGGGCTGTGACCTGGGCCTGTAAGAAGCGTCAGGAGGGGCCCAGACCTGAGAAGGAGGCTGCGATGAACTTTGCGGGGCCCTTTGTGGGCCAGGGCAGGTCGGCCTAGGTGTGAAACCTCCCCAAGGCCGGGAGAGGGGAGACACAAGCAGGATAGCCAGAGTAGGAGCTGCAGGGTGGGCTCCCCTGGGGTGATTTCTCACTTCCCCCTCTTCCTGTCTCCAGCAAGCACATCCGCCTACAATTTATTTAAAAGAAAATCTTCCCGTCCAGTGGTGACTCAGCAGAAGGTGGCTGTCCCAGTCTGCCTGGCCTTACACTGAGCACTTTGGACTGGGGCTGAAGGGACAGGAATGGCCCTCACCACCCCAGGGCCACAAACCCAAGAGAACCACGTGGGCGGGGCTGCTTCCTCCCGAGCCCCCAGCCTTGGCCTCACAGCGGCCATCTTCTCCTGGTGTCCTCGCGTGGGCTTCCCTCTGCCCGTGTGTGTCCACATTTCCTCTTCTCATGCAGCTTTGGGGCCAGCCCTAACGACCTCATTTAACCTCAGGTACCCCTTTGAAAACTTGTGTCCAAATACATCCCATCTGAGGCACCCGGGTGAGAACTTCCACATACGCTTTTGGGGGGACACAGCCCCTAACGGTGGGCACTGAAGCAGCCCTTCACAAGTGCAGCTCCCCAGAGATGTTTTGGAAATGCCAACCTCGTTCTGGGGCCCCACGGAATGGAGGCAGGGGCGGGGCTCCACGGGGAGGGGCCAGCCACCGGAAGACAGCAAGAGTCCTCGGGCTCAGAGCCGGCTGGCCGGTTGCCCTCCAGTGATGGCCAAGAGCATTGCTCTCTGTACATCTCAGTTCATTTTTAAATTAAGGTGTAATTTTACCTGCAGTGAAAGTCCCCCTTCTAGTGTGGAGTTCTGAGTTTTGACAGAATTACAGAGCATGTAAACTACCAGGATGAGAAGCCGAGCCCAGCCTGCCACGCGGTCACCATGTTCAGCCCGCACGCGATGCAGGGTTGAGAGCTGCACAGTCAGCTGCAGGGTCAGACCCTGGCCGGCCTGAAACGCAGGGTGCGCATGCGCGGAGACCCTGAGGAGCTGGAGGACGGGGAACACACAGGCCAGGTTCTGTGGGCGGGGCTTCTGTCTGCTGGGCACACACGTACACTTTTTCTTTTCTTTTCCTTCCTTCCTTCCTTCCTTCCTTTCTCTCTTTCTTTCTTTCTTTCTTTCTTTCTTTCTTTCTTTCTTTCTTTCTTTTTCTTTCTCTCTTTCTTCTTTCTCTCTTTCTTCTTTCTTTCTTCCTTCCTTTCTTTCTTCTTTCTTTCTTTCTTTCTT